GCTGGTCCCAGGGATGCTGCATGTTTGCCTGAATAGCGCCTGCTTACCACCAGGCCCCTGTTTTCCGTCCTGTGCATTCCCAGTTGGCTGTTGATGCCCCCCCACCACAATGATAGGAGATCTGCCACCTGTCTCGTCACACTTCTCCTCCACCCATCTCATGATTCTCTGGAAAATCATCCCGTGAATGGTGTATGTACCCTTTCTCTGGTGGCAGATACGTCGGACATATTGTGACATCGTACGCCCTTGTACGCAACCTCACCCCTTGCTGTTCTTCCTTGTAGTTGAGCCGGAGGGGTGTACTGCGTGTGGAGCGCCTTGTCCTTCATCATCTCGTGGGACACCATGAACGTCGTACCACATGCCTTAGTAACCCATTTCCCGATCCTTGCCCCAACCTGCAGTGCCACTTGGTATCCATGAGTTGTTATCGATATCGGTTTTGGCCCTGCCCACTGATGCGTCCCTGTCAGCAAAATCGCGTCCCATTCCCGAAGTGCACTGCTAATCTCTTCCAGTCTGTCCGTGGTATTCGCCGCCAGCGGGTTGTAGAACCTCAGTTCCATCAATGCACATATCGAGAACAATGCAACCGCCATCCGTCCTTCATGCCCCCCCACTCCCTTTCTGGCCCGTGAAAGTGTGGGGCGATAGTCGTGTGAGTGACTTTCAGTGGTAATCCTCCCTCCGTTGGGGCTCCAAGTGCCTGAGCCTCCAGCGCCGATTAGGAGGAGGAGGAGGAGGAGGAGGAGGAGGAGGAGGAGGAGTTGGAGGAGGCCGCCCACGACGACGATCACGCAGAGTTCAACGACGGCGCCGAAAGCGAAGGTGGATCAGGAGCAGGATGACGAACGAACTCTCGACGGAGCCACCTTAGCTCAAAAACGCTGTTTTGGGATACTGGACTCTGGCTCAATGTTTGTTCCCTCAATAGATGTCGTAGCCGAGGGACCGCGCTTGGCAACCTGGTGGCGGCTGCGGCATCCGCGCCCCAGTGCTTGACTTGTGGGGCACTGCGTACCCCGCGTCTTGGGCATGATGTTCGTCGTCGGCGTCGTGGCCGTCAGCCGTTGACCGAAAAAAAACAAGATTGCCTGTGTCTCCTCGTCCTGGGCCGATTCAGGCAATTCGTTGGGCGGCGGGGGTTGGGTTCGGAGTTCGTCGATCACGTGGCGAAATCCAGGTCCTACCCCCGCCCCCCGATGATTCAGGAGAATCGATGGTTGGTTGGCGCAGGGTTCGGATGCCGCCCCCTAGTGATTTCGCGTGCCCAAGCTTGGTGGAAGGCAACGCGGGGGTGTTCACTAGCTCGAGCAGCAATTGTTGGCCGATTGGCGGCCAGACGAGCTTGCCGAGTCCAGGGCGCGTTTTGAGGAGGCCGTGGGGCTACGCGGCTGTCGACGGCGAGACTGTGTGAGACGACCTGTTGCGCGAGAAGAGATCGCATCTCGAGCAGCTGGTTGAGATGCACAGGGCGGGCTAACCGCTGTACACCCAGCCAATGAGTACGAGGGGCGCATCTCCAAAAAAAGGCTGCCTTTGCAGAGCCAAGACGAGCAGCTCCTTTCGCTAGTCGTTGGAGCCAGCGTCGACCAGCTCAGCTGCCATGAAGCCTACTCCTAGCCTGCCCGCTCGCAGATCATGCGCAATACGAATACCGGCCCCAGCAGCTGATTTTCATTTGTTTCATTGTTCCCGGTTGCACCTCTCCATTTTGGCTGCCAACTCGCCTGGGCAGCGTTCAGGCGAAACCAAGTCCCAGAGGGTAGTTTTCTAACATGATGGCTTCCGTGCCGCCTTGCCCATTTTGTGTTTCCAGCCTGCCTGGCCTGCGCATTAGCGAAAACAGGTCCCGCAGTGTTGTTTTTTGGAGTGTCTGGCCCAACGTACCGTGGGCAACATGTGTGCACCGTACCGTGTCGGCGCTCCGAGGCGTCGTCGATCCTCGACCCATGAGTGGTACGGTGTATAATTTTACGGCCATTAGAGCCGAAAGCCATGTGCATTGTACCGCGTTTGAGCGAGGCCTGAAGGGAGTCCAGACATGGTACGGTGCATGGGCCCCATTTTTGTGAGAGGATTGTTTTCTGGAGTCTGGCTCCCCGGCATGCCCGCCCAACTTTTCGTTCCCAGCCCGCTCGGCCAGCGCATCAAAAAATGCAGGGCCCGGCGGCCTGTTCTCTTCCATCTCGCGGTTCCCGTGCCCGCACGCTGCTGTTTTTTTCGATGTTCCGTTGGGCTCCTGTGTTAAGCAGACCATCGCGTTCTCCAGCATTCCTCCTCCTCCTGTCTTCCTCCTGCTTCCTCCTGCTCCCTCCTTCTCCTCCTGCTCCTCCCCCTCTTCCTCCTCCTCCTCCTCCTCCTCCTTTTCCTCCTCCTCCTCCTCCGCGTCCTCTTCCTCCTCCTCCGCCTCCTACTCCTTCTCTCACTCTGATCCTCCTCTCCTCCTCCCGCCTCCCTCCAGCCTTCCTTGGGAGCAGATGGGGTTGGAGGATCGCTCCACATCGCCGATGCATCAACGATGCGGCTCGATATGGAGCTTGATTTTCTCCTCGCCGATGGCGCCGATGTATCGGCGATGCATTGGGGATGCGACCCGATCCTCCGACCCCATCTGCTCGGACCCCACCTAGGAGGCCTCTATGCTTCCTCCTCCCGTCGCCTACCACCATGCCTGTGGGGGTTCGAAGCATGAAACTGTCGCCACTTTCGAGGGCTCCTGGGGTTTCAGCACAGTGGGGTCCTATTCTACGGGGGTCCAGATTAGACGTCTCCATGCCTGGGACGCTGCGAACCTGAAACGGTCGCTAATTTTGAGGGCTGCTGGGGGGTCCAGTATAGTGGGGCGCTACGGGGTCCAGGTCAGCCCTCGCCATGCCTGGGGGGATTGCGAAGCGTAAAACTTCGCCACTTTCGAGGGTTGCTGGGGGGTCCAGCACAGTGGGGTCCTACTGCGATCCCAGATTAGATCTTGTCATGCCTGGGGGGCTGCGAAGTGTGACGCTGTCGCTACTCTCGCAGATCCAGGTTCGACTTCGTCATGCCTGGACGGGGCTGCGAAGTGTGAATTGTGGCTGTTTGCGAGGGCTGTTGGTGGGTCCAGCCCGATTAGACCTCGCCACGCTTGCGGGCTGCGAAGTGTGAAACCGTCGCCACTTTCGAGGCGCGCTGGGGGATCCAGCATAGTGGGGACCTGTGGAGATCCAGGTTACACATCGCAAGGCTTGGGAGGGCTGCGGAGTGTGAAACCGTCGTCGCTTTCGATGTCCCACGGGGGGCCAGGTTGGATAGCTGCTGCCTGGCCATCTCTCACGCCCAGGTCCTGCTTGCCACGGCCTGCCAGGGCCGGACCATGCACGGCGGAGTCGTCGTCGACGCCAGGCGCAAAGACGCGGACGATTTGGATGCTTTGTGGCTGCATCCTTACGTGCTGCTTTCCAGGGCTACGGCGGTCGATCATCTACTGATGATGCGGGGATCCTGGGCTGGCGTTTCTTGGTCTCGGGCTCCCCGCGCGCGCCTGCGCGCGTGTAGCTCCGGAGCTGCAGCGTGCAGGGGAGAGGCCGAGCGACTGGTAGTGGGTTTTTGCTTCGTTCAATCCACACGACTTATTGCACTTACTATGGCAGCTAATCTCGGGGCGCCGCTGCTCGCGAGTCAGAGTTGAAACGTTGCCCCGTCCTTTTCGTTTCTCCTTTTATCGTCGTCCTTTTTCATGCTTGCATACCCTTCCTTTTGCTGCCCCGTTTTCGCTTCGTTCCCGCCCACTTCCCTGCGGGCCGAGGGCTCACCTCCGTGTTCTGTCAACCCCGCAGCGCGCGAGCCACCCAGTGCCGCCATCATGGCGCATGGATCACCCGTAGCAAGTTTGACCAACTGTTCGGCTCAGTCGATGTAGATCGGCTGGTACGTCGCAGGGCTATGTTTGAACTCCTTGGTGCGCCCGCTAATGATCGCGCCCATCTGCGCAACGCGCGGGGGACCCACGGGGGAGATTTGACCCCGTAGCGCCAGCCTTGTCGGCGCAGCGGAAGGCCGAACGTTACCGCAAGATTGTATCTTCCAGCGTCGCATTTGCCGCGGCCCATCTGCATCGCATGGTTTGCACGACGCGTGGCCAGAACGTTTCACAATCGATTCGCTAATGGATTATATGTACCCTTTTCCTGTATCCCTTCAGTTGTCGCTGCTTCGTTTGGTCCGCGTTGTGATATGTATCTTTTGCGTTGGCTCCCACGGGTCGCACAACGCACAGCTGCAAAACATTTGTTTTGGGCGTTTGTGTGATTATGTTTGCGGCTTTGGGTTTTTCCCCTTGTCACGGCAGTGTTTGGATCAATTTGTCGGGATAGTGCAGTGGAAAAATGTGAGATCATATTATGACCCGGGGACGGGGGGCAAAAGAGGATAGGACAACGAAACGAAGGCTGGTGTCTATTACTTGAGGAAGGGGTGATGGATGCGATGCAAAGTCGCAGAGGAGAAGGAGGTGCAAGAAAAACACGAGCATTATGAAAACGAGGACGAGGAGGAGTATCGGGAAAGTGCGGAGGAGGAAGGGGGAAGGTTATTCCAGCAGGGGTTCACGCAGTGCTCAGGCAACCTCTTTTGAAGGTGCTCGGCGCCGCCGTCATTGCCACATCATTGTGGGGGTGGCGGGTTTTCCTTGGCCATGGCCGTGCCCCGTGCCCTTCCCCCCCAGTGTTCCGTTACAGCGTCCCCCCCTGTAGGAGTGATCATGTGATTGAAATCTAGTCGTCCGTGCATTATGAAAACGAAAGCGTGCGAGTAAGGACAAGCATGCGGGAGCTGTCGCGTACTTCTTCCCTCTCGCCGTCGCTCTCCCGTTGAGTAGCCCGGGGCGTACGACGGGACGCGGCATGCTGTATAGCTCTTCGCCTCGCCGCGTATTTTGTGGAACCTGTGCCACGCTGATTTGGGATCCTGGGCCCGCTTGTCGGCGACGGTGTCGGCGGGGCAGGGCGGGCCGCACTAAGGAGAAGATCGGGCTGAAGCTCGACAAGTCGCCGCCTCAGCCCTTGGTTTCGTTCCCATGTCGGGGAGTCTCCCCCTGAACACTCTCTGGAAATTGGCTTTCCCACAGGGGGCGGGCAAATGCGAGCGTGCCATATGTAGCCGTGTGCCGGGGCAATTCCATGTTTTTTTTTTTGACGCCCCTCCGTCGACGGCCCCATACTCGCGGATGGTCCATGGCTTGACCGTGGACCCTTTTGCGATGCCCCCCCAGTTCGATCGCCGCTGCTCTGGTCAGTGGCTTCTTGGATGCCCGTGGTGATCTTGGCGGCCTCCCGGAATGAACTTGGAGGTGGTTTCGGGCTGTCTTTGGGGCCTCCTGGGGTCTCTCGGAGGCCTCCTCCCTTTGGGGCCTGATTTGCTTTGTTGGGGCCTCCTGGGGCGTCTGGGAGGCCACTTGGGAGCCTGCTGGCGGTCTCGATGGTCATCTTGAAGTGGAGGGCTCGAAATGTCGAGTCGTGTTCCCTCACTTGGGGCTCTCTTGGGGCCGTCTTGGGGGCCTTTCGGGCCGTCTTGGGGCCCTCTTGGGCTGCATGGGGGGCCCACTCAGGGGCTTCTTGGGCAGTCTTAGGGCGTTTGCGCGGGCATCCTGGGCCGCCTTGGAGCGTCGGGAGCTTGAAAAGGCGAAAACCTAAGGAACATCACTGTTTTTTCATATTTTGGCCCTCTCGGCGGGTCCCTTGGAGCCGTTGTAAGCCATCTTGAAGCGTCTTTGGGGCCCCTTTGGCCGTCGTGAAGCTATCTTGAGCGTCTTGGGGCGCTCTTAGGCCATCTCGGGGCTCTCTTCGACCATCTGGGGCGCTTATTGGGACTCTTGGGCCCTCCTGGGGGAAGTTTTCGGTCGGCGATGTGTCCCAAAAGCTCTCGCGACGCGCCCCAGGGATTCCTAAGAGCACCCGGGAAGCTGGGGTTCCAGGCCTTCAGGAATGAGTCACTCCGTTCAACACTTTAGATTTTGTGAGTGCTGCGGCCCTCCACTTCGTGCTGAAGGCACGGTGGCGGATTGCTCGTACTGCTTCTCCTCATTTTGTTCGTCGTGATTTTTGGTATTGCCGCAGCTTTCAGCTGGCGCGGCAGTGGATCCGCAACTAGGGTGTAGGGTACACGATGGCAGGCATCATGTGCATGGCAAGCATGTCCTTGTATACAGTATCAACCTCTGCATTGCCCAAATCATCACAACTTCGCGTATCGTCACTTGCCGCGTTCAATCATAATACATACATAATATGTGTATACACATACATATACACACATATACATATATATACACATGTACGTCTGGATGGAGATTTCTTTTTCAGTTTCGTGTGCCGTATCCTCTTCCACCTCTTTTTACGTCCTATTATAGCTCGTCGCTTTCTCCCAATTTCATTATTCGTCCTCGTCGTCGCCTTGGGCTTGTCTCGTCGTCGCCGTCGTCGTCGCCGCCGCCGCCGCCGCCGTCGTCGTCGTCGTCGTCGACGTCGTCGTCGTCGTCGTCCTCCATCTCCTCCTCCTTCTCCTCCTCCTCCTCCTCCTTGTCCTCCAGGTGGCTCGGCGCCTCGCGGCCCCGGCGGCCCGCCTGCCCGAGCCCCCAGCTCTGGGCTTCCCAGCGCGAGCGATAGCTTCTGAGCAAGAGCGTGTCTCGGCCTTTGGCAGGCTGGGGGACGTGGACTTGGTAGCACAGAGGAGTTGACCCTTCAAGTCGGAATAGTTTCTTGGAAGTGGAAGGTGCGAGACACGGCGAGATCCCGCATGCGATCATCTGCTTGGCATCGAAGGCTCCACAGAGAGGTGCAAGACCATATCATTTTTGCGGGTACAGCAGGCTGTGCGTTTGCTTCAGTCACATCACAGATCTCGGCCGCCGATGAGCGGAAAAAGATCGTGGTGGAAAGAAATCAGATGGCGCTGATCCGCGGGAGCCCAGATGATCGTGCATCTCTATTTTGCACATGAAATGTTCTAGATGCTCCGCGGTGCTACATGTGCGGCCGCGACAAGACAGGACAGCCCGACCCGAATGGTCCAGCAGAGTGCGGCTGTAGACAAAAACAGGCACCAGGAACATCTCGCACACCGAGAAAGGATATGTACAGGTCCGTCTCTGCAGCGGGTGAGCGGGGTGAGGTGGTCAAATCTAGGAAGGTTCTGGGCGCCTGGCGAAGGCTGTGTCTTGAAGAATCAAGCCAGGTCCCCAAGGCGGCAAGGAAGTCATTGGCAGATGCAGAAGCACGAGAGCGACTGCAACGCACGCCAGATGAACCATTAAGTCGATCCCTGGACAGGTTCAGCCAGAACAATAAGGGAATCAGCGCGTTGCAGTCAGCCGCGATGAGTTTCAGACGCAGCTCGATGGTAAATCAAAGGAGCTGGCACAGGCCACGTCTTAGCTGGAGCTTGTGCAGACTGGCGTGTCTGTGGCTCGCGCTGCTGTTCACGCTACTGGTGACAGTGGAGGTGGTTGGAACATACATCTACTACTACTACTACTACTACTACTACTA